TAGGAGAGGTCAGACATGATAGCTCCTCCTGGACTTAGGGGTTCATTAGTGTAAAGCCAGGAGCTTAAATTCACATTTGGGAAGAAACAAGACCTACTTTAAAAGCAAGAAGAAACCCAAAACGGTAAGAACTTCACCCCTGAGAAGAGAATAACTTATCCCCCTGTTCAGTTTTTCCCCTATGACAGAAACGTAGGATTTTCACTCGTCTCGTCTTGGCCACACACCAAGTACCTCTTTTTCCATTAAAGCAGTTTCGAAACAGCCACATCCCAATTTTAGGTTAGTCCTTTGGCTTGTGTGCATGTCCCCCTTCCCTCCCCAGCAAGTAACTTCATGTCTTCAAGGTGAACTGACGTAAAACACGGGCTTGGCAGCGCCGCTGAATGGTTCTTGAGAGGCGAGGTAGTGGGAACACGCGCTGACTTCTTCAAATACTCAAAGGGGGAAAGAAAAAAGAAAAAAGAAAAGCCCAACAACTGCTACGTAAGGTGTGCAGTAATGCTCTCAAGCAGCAGAATTCATCCACAGCTTATCTGAAAGCTTGCACCGAAGTTTCAAATTCTTCTAAGATCCTCCAGTGGGAAGATGGAGCATCGTTTGCTGCTTTCAGCATGCCGTAAGGATCACCAGGAGGCTGCTGTACCAAGGAGCTCAGGCTCCAGCAGCCTGCTGGCCAGGGATGCAAAAGGTGCAGGAATCTCAATGGCTGGGAGCGAGGTTTGCTTCTAAGCCTTGCAACTCCTGCCTCAAAAGACAGAAAAGGGCTTGTAAGTGATCCCTCGCTAACAATCCAGCCCCAGTCAAGAAAGTCAGGCACACACAAGTTCTCTTTCTTTTCTAAATTCTCGGGGCTGGAGGAACTGCAGCCTTTTGTGTTGAAAGATTTCGCATTCATGTTCAGTAAGGGTCCTGAGCAGACATCAAAGGAAAACATTAAACTTCTTAGGCAAGCCTTAGGCTAACTTCAGAGGATATATGGCTGCATAATGTTTAGCACTTGGATCACAGTAATTCATGGAAAAAGAAACTGCAGGACGCCCACAAGACATTCCCTACATACTTCCATAATCAGGGACATTTCTGCTGGATTACTTCTCGCATGGCAAAAAAAGGCAGCAAAAAAAGGCAGCAACCAAGACACCAATGTGGCTGCATCTGGCCGGCATCTTTCTGCTCGTTCCCATCCTTCCCCACTGGACACGAGGTACACATAAATTCATACGTTCCAAGACTGACAAAGAAAGTGAAAAGCCCAGAACAGGTAGAAACCAACATCGCATCTACTCCGAGCCAAAGAGGAACTGCTGTTTACACTGCTGAATGTCTGTTTTGCTCGCTGTTCCCCCAGGCCCTGCACTAGAAAACCAGGCAGCAGGCACACTTCTCAAGAGAAGCCCCCCATCTCCTTTCCAGGGAGGTTTTGCCACCATTGATTATGGAATGTGTGTTTTTCTTAAAGGTTCTAAGAACCATGGGATGCTGTGCCTGGGAAAGAGAAATGTAACAAGTATCTTTCATTTCTTTTCTGGCAAGGGGAAGGCACTGAAATATACTTTTTAACTACAGCTGCCTGGCACGATACTTTTGTTTCCAGGGTACAGCCAAAGGGGATTAGACACCCTGTACTAATTAATAAAAGCAGACGGTACCTGCTCCAGAGCTGCATCTCCCAAGCAGACGGGACAAAACAGCAGCAGTTCAGCTGTCCAGGTGGGGAAAGGGGGGAACAAAGCACAGGAATCTGTTACAGCGCTGGGTTGAGTTCCACGAGTCTCAGTCCATTTAGGCGTTGGAAAAAGCAATGAAACAAGAGCATGTACTAAATTTGGCACGCATTTAAGTGATACTTTGCTACGAGGGAACAAGAACCTCCGCTCCCGCTAGCCCAGACACCGAAGGAACATATAAACGAAAAGTAGTTACTCACCCCACCCATCTATCTGATCACCTTCTGTTTCCTGAGTCAGCCAGACCTTTCTTGGCCAGACGACACAAGCCACAATTTGGATCTCATTACAAATCAGACACACTAAACCGCTCTCTCCCTTTGGCTGCAGAAGATAAAAGGCCAAGAAAGCAGGCAACATTTTGGTAACCGGCTTCGTGTAACAGCTTCAGCTTTTCTTAAAAGCCTCGGCATCGATTATTTTCTTTAAATAGCGATGGCTTAGTGAGAACCCTTCCACCCATGTTAATGCACGAGATTTTCCTAAAGAAGAGAAGAAAGCAAAAACTGTCAAACTGTCCTGCCAAAGTGTATTTGTCAAAGAGCTTCTGATACCCAGTCACAGCAAAACACTGAAGTCAAAGTGAGTTAACGCTGGTGCTGAAGGTTTAAGAGGTTAGATGCAGAGAAGAGGAAATAAAGTATAGGCTGACATGGAACAATGCTGGGATTCAGCTCCAGAGAGCGCATCGGCCAACGGCATGAGCCAGTGCTGCAATGTGTGCGTGTCCAGAGGAGCTAAAAGCTCGTGGCACGCCAAGCAGCACAGCTCTCATGTGGTCTCTGTACGACTTGGGGCAAAATGAATATAGGAATTAATTCCTTCAAGCCAAAACACCAACACCCTGCTGTTACATAAAAGCCTGTTTTCTGGGGAGTGTTTCCAACCATGGTGTCATTTGGGCTGTTTTGAATCAAGTGACATAGTCAGGTTCAAGATGGGATGCACTGCAGACTGAGAAACGCTCTGGTTTGAAATCATCTCCCGTTCCCTTCTCAGTCCTCACGGTGCCTGTTCCTTCTTTCAGTCTGTTACATTTCCAGATGGAAAACAAGCGCGGCAATTCCACCGCCCGGTTCTCAGATGCTAATAGAAGCCTGTGATGAAAGAGCTGCAGAAGGCCTCGGGGAGATGCTTAAATCCTAACTCAAACAGATAAAAAGATGACTATTTCAGTTTGCCTGGGAAAGTTTCTGCACACATTGGAAACCCCTTGAGGCAGGGACTGCCCTTCTGTTCTCAGTTTAATAGCCTGTTGTACAAATTGTGATTGCACAATTATTCTTATAAAGTTTTCAATTATACAAAGAACGTATTTTATTAAGGTTTATAACTGTGAGAAATAAAACCTAAAACCCCAAACCCTTTGGACTCAAACTGCGTGACCCACTAATGCTCAGCAGCAAAGCGGCCCCAGCACCATCAAAAATTTACACCGCAGCCCACAACAAACCCTTCGAAGGAGCAACAAGAGCACCCCAGCACACTGCAGTTCTGACTTCCATACTTCAAGACACACAGCTTCAGTCTGTGCCTTTGGATCTTCCCTCCTGCGTTTGTGTTTTAGCAGTCAGCACTCCTGGGCAGTCACTGCACACCTCGATGGCCAGGAACTCCAGTTCTGAGCAGCACGGCGCGCTGGCACTGCCCGGCTGGAAGCTACTCACCTGCAAAGTTGCGTGGCACAAAGGACCAGAGGTTGCACAAAGGACCAGAGGGGGCACGGACGTGGCACAAGGAAGGGAAAATGTGTCAAAGGTGCAACCAGCGGGCACGCGCAGCCACGTGTTTTCTCTGCTTTGGGACCAGCCATGGTTAAAAGAGCAGAGCTCAGATTCTGATCTATGATGAGGACAAGGTGAAATATCTTCTTTAGCCAGTAAAGCACCTCCTGGGTCCCAACACAAAACCCAGCTTGCAACACCTCTCCCAGGGGAGAGCCAGGGCAGTGACCACCCCCTTTTTACAGGTAACACACCCGAGCACAGGAGCAGGCACCTAAAGGCACGCAGCCGGGCTGAGAGGCTGAATGGGTTCTGTGCCCAGACCCGGGACACAGACCGGTCCACTCTCCTGTGGACATTTACATTTCAAAACCTCCTTCTGCTGAGGAAATGTACAGCCTCCTCTCCTTTAAAAGCTGGAGGCTTTATAGCCCTCAAGGCCAGCTCTGCTGAGCATAGCGGCCGCTGTACCGGAGCGAGGAGCCCCCAAGAGGCCCACAATGACTCAGAAGCAATAGCCTAAGAGGAAGCCTGTCTACAGAGAAGCTGCAAAACCCCGAACTGTGGCAGTCTGCAACCAGCATTATTCATAACAGAACGCTTAAATTCGATTGTTTGGCATGGAGACAGCATCACAGAGGTGTGGATCAGCCCAGCCAGGCAACAACCAGGAGAAGAAGGCAGGAGAGCCTCCAGCAGCAGCAGGCAGGTCAGAGCACCAGCAGGAAGAATCCAGAAGGACCTTCACAGCTGCACAACCGATGCCCTTGGTGCAAGGTGACACACGTTTGTCTCTTCTGTGCAACAGGGAGGGGGAAGCACTGCACCCTACCAGGCAGGGCAGCTCTGTCCCATGCCATCCTGGCCTCTCTCTCTTGAGGCTGCTCCAGAAGCTGAACTCATTCAAGGTGCACACACGCCCAGAGCTCACAGTGCAATTTCCTCTCATCTCAGCTAATAAATCTTACGGTGTGCCTGCGTTTTCTGAGCACGGGTTTTACGAGCTGAATAAACCTTATGGAGGCTTGATTGCCAAGGCAGCCCAAACCTAGAAACTTGATGCCTGACCACAGCCAGGCACAGCAGGCTCAGAGAGCTGCTGTGAGGAAGCAGAGCAGCAGTTTCTGCGCTTCAGAAGGAGCTTAACTGGCCTGCTCCCTCTGCAAAGACCCCTGTGTATTGGCTCTGAAAGCTTTTCATTCAGCTTAGCCTCAAGACCCTTCCCCTCGTGATCACGGGATGGTAGACAGGACAGCATCCTCTGGCTGTGCTGAGCAGCAAGCACCCAAAGAGCCCTGGCAGATAACTCTCAGTCCCGGCCATCCGTCCGTGCGCATTTACAGCTGGCATCACGGCAAGAGACAGACCACCCGTGAGGAAACCTGTCCTCTGGGGCTGTTCTGGAATTGACTTTTAACAAAAGCAGCAGCTCACCCTTAGATCCTCTAGGCTAAGAGCCCATTTTCCAAGCAAAAACCGCAGCAGCGAAGGCCGGGCGCTGGCACAGCGACTGCCACCGGCGCGCGGGGTGAGGTCAGGCACGTACCTTGGAAATGAGTTCATCGTGGTTAGCCAGATGAGCCCTGCAGTGAATGCAGCTGTAGGTCCTGTGGCACGAAGGCAGATATGCCTGGAAAGTCTTGGACCTTGTCATCTTCACCATTGGAGCCACCGAGCGCTGCGTGAACTCCGGGGTGGCCCAGGAGGCGCTGCCGCAGGAGGGGTCGCACGGGAAACACCGAAAGACACAGGTAAAGGCCGTGGTTTGGCAGGTGGCGGGTGTGGGGCAGGCTCCACACGCTGGGGACAGCTTCAGAGGAAGAGATTCAGCCGGAGGGGACGGAGGAGCTGGCACAGACCTGCGTTGGGAACAGAGCAGAGACGCGGTGAGCTGCGGCTGCCTCCTGGCTGGTGGGGGGACCGAGTGCCCAGAGGAAGCAGAGGGGACAGGAGCAGCCAGGGGACAGGGACACGGACACAGCCTGCAGATCAGACCCAGGAGGACAGGGCTGTATCCACAGCGCAGCTGCTGACGGGCTGGCTGCCCTCACCGCCCCGCTCCTGCTCTCCACCATCTTCTGCCACTCAACCCCCTACACCTCCGTTCATTCTCCCAACACTTAATGGATTTAGAAGAGCTACAGAGGCACAAAGATGCTACAGAAAATCATTTTCATCACGCCTGGCCTCCCAGACCCCTCTGGGGAGCAGCACACGTCCAGGTCCAGCAGCCCTCGGAGGAGCTGGGCTCTGTCAGCTGGAGGCAGCCAGGAGCCCTGTTCTCTCCACGCCACCCCAGTTTCCACCTGGGAAACGGAGGATTACTTCACCACGCTCACCTTTTTTAACCTGCAGCAAGCTCCGAGGGCAGCAGCCGCTCTACAAACCGCACTCCAGTATTTTGTTTTCCCCATCAGACCGTCTGAGGGCACTCACAGCCAGGAGCAGCCTCCAGGTCCACCCTGACGGCAGCAGACGGCTCAAAATTCTCTTCAAGTTGGCAAAACTCTTTGCTATCCAGCATTACCTGACAGCCTGCTAGGTAGCTCAAGCTTGGCTCTTTTCTGTCAGAAATCGGGTTTCAGATTCCCCCTCTCACCTCAGCAGGTATCGGTGTTCCCTCCGAGAATGGGGGCAGCAGTGGAACGAGGGAAGTACTCGGCACCCAGCGTGCACACACGCTCTAGAAATTAATCATGGGCTCTGGCTGCTCCTCCCAGGAGGATTTCCTTCGCATAAAAGATGGGATTCTGTTCAGTTCCTGAGTCTGCATTTTGTGTATCAAATGCTGCAACCACCCCTATTCTAAAATAAAAAAGAAAACCAACCTGCACCTGACCTGCAGCGGGAATTTCTCAGGTGAGGTAACAGAAAGGTGCAGGAGCTGACAGCTGGTATGAATAACTTGCCTGAAGTGTATCCGACCATCTTCCAGGTGAGGCTAACGCCAGCCCAGGTCACCAAGCCATGAGCCCAGCTCCTCACAGCTCGCACACTGAGCTGGGCTGTCCCAGACAAGACGCCAGCGACGCGCCGAGCTCCAGGGACACGGCAGAGCACGGACAGACTTGGACTCGTCTAAGCAAACGTGGCTCGGGCTTGCTAAAGGGACAGGCGTCAAACAGCAGGATGGAAATCAGGAAATCTATCAGGGAGCTGAAGGCAGGAGCTAGGAGAGCTTTGCTAGGAGGCAGTCCTGCAGAACTGCGGCACGCGGAGCTGCTTTTCGGCCCAGCAGCAGCCAGAAGTACCTCACTGAGACAGAGCAGCCCCAGACAGGCTGCAAGAGCAACACAAATCGGGCTGCGAGCCCATTACTGCCTGCAGGAAAGCCCCACGCGGGAGCACTGTCAGACACGTGCAAATAAAAACACCACCAACTCGTCCCCTTGGCACCAGGGCACCTTGCACAGAGCCCCCCTTTCCGACGCCTCTCCCGAGTCCGTTCGTCACTGCCGAGTAACAAGACTGAGGGACTCCACGTTACCTGCCAAGCCTCCTGCCAGCTGGACGTCCCTCGAGAGCCAGCAGCGCCTGCAGCTTTCCAGCAGAGCTCCTGCAGGCAGCACAGGCTGGAGAGCTGTCGTGGGCTCACCCTGGCCCCATTAGCATGGTCCCAAGCCCAGCGCTCGCCAGGAGGCAGAGGCTGCTAAGCCAGCAGGAAAGCTGGGTGCTTTGGTGGGTTTTTTTCCCCCTGAAATACTTTTCTTCTCCTCTACAGAAACATCTCAGTCGAATGGGAAAAGGATTCTTACTCATCCTGCAAAGTGCTGATAACGCTTATCTGTCTGATCGTAGCCGTCAGCACTTCCACGGCACTTCCCATCCTTAAAGCTCTTTGCCAACACTCGTTAATCTGATTAAACTTACAGGGAGAGCTCCGCAAGGTCCATCCTGACACAGAAGGGCTCGCTCGGAACTAAACTGCTCCTCTTCAGGCAAGAGGGCAGCCTGAGGAAGCAGCCCCAAAGCCAGAGACACAAACAATGCCCAGGCAGGTACCACGGGAGCAATGCCCATTTGTTGTTTGCTGACCCCTCTGGCCAGGCTTCCTAGGCACTGGTGTCCTGGAGCAGGGAGGGAGGGAGAAAATACTGCAACTGGGCTCTCTCAGAGACACGGAGACGTGCACACACCAGCTGCACACAGCTTTCTGCAGAAGCATTTGATGAGCATCCATTTACTTGACCTCACAACACAGTCACCAGCAGTGAAAGCACCTGACCTTTCGGAACAGGACACACAAATTCAAGTCGGATGGTATCTGAGCACAGATTACGATGAAGTGCAATTGCTGTTCTCAGTACCGTGCTGAGAGGGCAAACTCAACTCTTCACTCAAGGCAGAGGAGAGCATGAAGATCTGGGAGCTAAGACCTTGCTGGGAAACCTAGCTAAGATGGTAGGCAAGAACCTGCCTTAAAAAATAAAATAAAATAAAATAAAATAAAACACCTTCAGATAGACTCCAGTACGGAAGCCATACTTTATAAAAAGACTGCTGATGTTCAGCATCTAGTCAACAACAGCCAGATTGCTCACGTACACATCTACACCAGGAGCTCTGCCCTCATCGCAGTGGTGGAGAGGAGGGAAAAACAGTAGGAAGGGCATTTTTCCATCCTGAGCACAGCCACTCGGCTGGAGGGACCCACATCCATCTCAATTACCATCTCAAAATACATCAAATAACATCTGTGGCTCTCAGCAATGCAAAAAAAAACAACAACCTGGATTTTTTTTCCCTGTCCTAGTGGCAAACACACCTGGGTTACAACACACGTAGCAGCTCACAGACGTTCATTCTGCTGCAGAGCCAAGGCACGAGGATGATTTTAGGCCGTGCCTCTGGCTCTGCAGAGCCCGGTGAGCTCATGTTCCTCAGCCTTGCTGACAGTGGGCAGCTGTGAAGTCACTCCATTAACCTTTTTTTAAAACAATAAATAACAAAAATGTTTCCATTACTTAATGATTGTGTGCCTAACAGCCTAAGAGAGATGAGTATCTGCCACTGCAACAGAATCCGGAGTTTTTCTTTCAGAATTCAGGAGAAGTTTATCTCTAGAATGGTCACGATTGAGTCAATGCAACAGATATTTGTACAGATTAATTAATTTTCAAGAAATCAGACAGCTGGCTTAGACAAAAGGAATGGATTCTAGGAAAAAGCTTATCGACTTCCTCTGCTGCAGCAATCAGTGAGAAAATCAGCTGAACGCACTGCCTGCACACACTGCTGCCCTGCCAAGTCTGCTACACCTCAAGGAATAAAAAAAACCATTTTACTGTGCAAACAGCTTTTTCATTCAGTTTTCACCCTTCACCTGTCCAACAGCCACTTTCCACATTAAGTTCTTTAGTAATTCATGAAACACCAGAGGAGAAAGGCAAAGTCTGTGCTGAATGCCAGCTCCATGAGGCTGCTGTTTGTACAAGCCCACGCACCACAGGAGCACAGAACAAGAACTCTTACACATGAAGCCCAATTCTGCAACCAACCCATTCGCAATGCAGCTCAGAGGTAAATGTTCCTGTTCGTTCTGGAAGGGCAAACAGCAGGTTTGTGGGTTAGCTTTATGGATTATTTACTTTTTAAGATAAGAGCCTTTAGTTTGTTAAATGCTTAGCAGCAAACGCTAGGGAGAGCTGCCTGGAGGAGTTCTGTAAAAAACCATCTGGAAGCCCAACCTTCCTCCTTCGGTGTGCCTTCGCATTACCATGGGAAGACCCAGAGATGTAGTTATGTTAATTACACCACAATGGGAACCAAGCTGGGAGAGTTCTTTGTTTCCACAAGGTCACAAACTTCAGCAGCCAGCGTTGCTCCAGGGTCTCAGCAAGGTTTAAACAAAACATTTGAGGTAGGCACACCGATCGGGGTTTTCTTGACATGGAAGCCACCTTCACACTGCTTAACACACTGCAGTTTGAAAGAGGAAGGCTCGTCTCTAACACAACGAGCTAAAAGGGGAGCCTGGGTTTAACACCCAGCTCTGCTGATCCTCCCTGGAGAATCAGAGTTGGTGTCCCAATGCCAGATGTTGACCCCTCGGGGACACCTGGCACAGCTGGGAGCCACTGCACGCGCGTGGTGCGGGGCTGCAGGGAGGATCCTGGTGCTTCGGGAGGGTCTCACCTCAGCACAGGGCTGCAACAGCTTTGGAAAGATGAAGTCAAATCTGGAGGTGGCAGGGTAAGGTGTTTGTGAAAGGCTCTGAATGAAAGGACGAGCATTGGGAAAGCCAAGAAAGAAGTAGCAGATGGGTGTAAGCCACGTACCTCTACTTCTTCAGTATCTGAAATGCTCTTGGTGAGGGTTATCAGCATGATCAGAAGTCATTACTGCTACAAGAACCATGAGTGTCCTTCCCTAAGGAAGGACTCCTTGCCTGTGCTCCTTCAGCTCATTCTCCAAGCCTTGCAAGCCCATGGAGAAAGGAAATCAGACTGCATGCCTGCATTTACTTTTACTTTCAACAGATTCACGTGCAGAACTGCACTAAAGATACAGCATGGAGCGAGATTCTCACTTAAACCACCTTCAGCTAAAAATATCCTTCATTCCCTTATTCCTTTGGGCATCTCCTAGCAAGGCACTCCGTTTCTGCAGACCTCAGCTCTCCCATCCGTGCCCTGGAGACAGCAGCCGCCAGCACAGGAGGCACTTTGTGGTTCTGGGAAACAGGATCTGGATGGGTGGCTGCAAAAAGACACCAGAACATAACGCAGACAACAGCCAGGTAACCACTAGAGGGCATCAAAAAGAGTCAGAAAACAGCAATTAAAGCCTATCTGGCCATAGTGAATCAGGGCCAGGCACGGCGCCAGACACGCTGCACCTGCCGTGCCTGCACATCCCACAGGCAGCTTGTCAGGAGGAACATCGGTTTCTGTTCTGCTGGGAAGCTGTCGATAATAAAACTGTCCCTGCCGTTGTGTCGATCGGAGGAACAAACAGCAAAGCTTCAAGGCTCGCTTCAGGTTAATCCCCTCCCCAAGTCAGTCCAGCTTCATCACTGTAGACATCAATGCTGGTTTTAATAAATTATGGATTAACGAAGTAATCTATGAAAAAATATATTTTAATTGTTCTTTACATAGTTCATTTACCTTCTGACAATTTAGAGATTAAATAAAATTAAACAGATTTTTTTTAATTAGGCAACATCCACACCAGTGCATTTTCAGGCTCCCAGGTGCAACTGTGGTACCAGAAGCAAGCGCAGAGGCTGCCTGCAGTCAGAGCAGAAGCTTCTCTGTACTGAGCCACAGCTCACAACCGACCGGCAATCACGGGAACAGGCTGGGTACGTCACTGAAGACCCTGCAGAGATGCTTCTTTCCTTGCTGTGAGCTGCAGGGACCTGAAGACTACAAGAACTTTCTGAATTTATTACAGACCTGGGGCTGAACTCAGCCATTCAGGCCCATCGAGCGTCAGAAATGCTAACTCATCTCTCCCTGCAGCACGGAACAAAGCCCGCTGCTCAAAACAACCCCGTCCAACACGCTACCGACACCACAACGGGGAGGCAAGGGAGGGAAACCATTCTGGAAAGCTTCCAGAAAATGCCTCCTTTTACAATTTCATCTCCAAAGACGCAGGGCTGCTAGCACAGACATCACCTTTCAGCCTTGGGAATCTGTCTCCATTTCTGGGCCTGCCTGCGCCGGCACGGGGAGCTCAGCCTGTGCCAGAAGGACGACTGCCACCTCTGCTCCAAATCCTCGTCCCACTCGCCCGCGAGTTGCCTGGCAGCAGCATCCTTGCGATGCAGGAGAGGCTGCGCTGTGAGAGCAGGCGGTGCTGGAGGCTTTCTGGCTGCA